TATTCATATTTTTCACGTTTCTCTTTCCACTTCTATGTTTGATTTATTCTGTCCTAGGTACATTCTCTTCCGCTTTCTTCCAATTTCTAAGCCCTCAAACTTACTTTTTCAACAGCAATTGACGCCTCACCAAAAATGTTTTAGGTAGATGAAAAATAAATAGTAAATAGATTAGATTTATTTACAGCATTCATAATACCGATCGCAAATGAATGGTGTGTGAGCCTCAGTAGAAGTATTTCAGTACCTAAACATAAGTAAAAAATTATTTGCCAGAAACATCGTCATTTCTGCTGCGGAAGGAGCAAAATACTTCAAGTAAAGTGGAGCGGGCCAGGGGGGGGGGATAATACAGGGGTAAGGGGGGACCTTACCCCTGTAAGGGAGAAGTAAGTTGGGTCAAAGTTTATCAATCGTATAAAGAAAGAAAAATAATCCCCCACATCTGACCCCGTCATATCTGCCTTACAGGAAGAAGCACTTGAGATGAACTGTTTGGATTGCGGGGGAGGGGGTAAAAAGGGGAAAAGGGGGGAGGACATTAAAATTGGGAAAATGTAAAGAAGAAGAAAAATCCCCAACAGAAAATACCATCATGACCGCGGCGTGGAGAGAAGAGATCAAAGTAAAGTCAGTAAGATGCGCTAACAGTCGTGATAGTATGAATGAAGTCCCCCCCCTCCCCGAAAAACCATTTGGGGCTTTGTGAAAGATGTGGAAAAATACTACAAGAATAGCTTAACAAATCACCGCAAACCGCGCTTCAATATCTAGATTTGGTACCTCGTAACAGCCGGAGTTCGACATTAAAACACCTGCAAAAATGGGTGAAAATCGGGGACTTTGCCCCCCCCCCCATAACTTGGAAACGGTGCGTATACTCAATCTGAAATTTTAGTATGTGTAAAGGGTCACCCTAAGGATGAAAAAAAAACCTCACTCCGACCCCAATTTCGAGGGCCCAAAAATGGGCCGTTTTTGGCCCTTTTTGTGCATGGCTCCTTATGAGATGAAACCGCAATTCATAGCAATTTTTCATTCGATTAGATTACAATAAATCGACGCCGATAAAATCGGAATACATTCTCCGGTTAAATCGCAACTTATCGCGATCGCTGCTACTCGGGCCATCGAATTTCAACAGTGTAGTTTCTCAACCAAAGAAAAAGGGGTAAAATCCCGGTTGAAAATCGTTTTTCCGGCTGAGAGTGTGTCATGCAAATGACCGCGAGGCGGGGGCGCGGAGAGTGGTGTAGCGGCGAGAAAGCATTTCATTAATCAATTAATAGGAACACATGGACTCACTCGCGCTAGAGTCGGGAGCGCTAAATTCGTCGCCTTCCTAACCCCGGGGGGCGTAACTCCATCGAACGTTGAGCCATGGAGATCACCAAATGACACGGACCAGAGGGCTCACCTCGGAGAGGAGCTAGACCCTTCGGTCGGGCAAGCGACGAATTATTGAGTAAGAGGCTTAGGAGAGGGGTTAATAAGTTAAATAATGTAAGTTAAGGGGAGTGAGTCCCGCAGTCCCCAGGAGCCCGCGGGAGCCGAGGGCCGATTAGAGGTGGCCGGATTAAAGTTATTGCGATGAGTAATTGAATAGGCCCGAGGTTTGCCTAAAACCACCTGAGCACCCGACGCGACCCTCCGCCTCTTGGAGCTCGCCTCATTACCCGCCGCGCAGTGTAACGAGTCGATAGGGGAAGTCGGACACAATTTGAAAACTTTGAGAGGTTGTATCCTCGTTAATGTGAAACGTAGAACTTTAAAATTGGTTCCATTGTTTTTTTCATTAAAAGAGGGGTTTCACTTGAGGCCGACCCTGCTGGCTGATCATTTAAATTGATAGACAAAGCTATAGACAAAGAAGACTAGGGAGTATGGAGCGTTCCTACAGGTTGAAATGGGTGGTTCCTAAAGACTGAGGGAGAAAAATGATGGAATAACTGAAGTGTCTCTCGTGGATTGCCGTTGGCCAGTCTAATATCTTCCACCAATAGGATCCCTCCATATCCCATTTGTCTTAAGTTTTATCTATCAATTTCAATATTCGGCCTGCTGGCTGATTTTGCTGACCACTGCGGTTATTTGTTCATTGAAGGTCTGTATTTTACGGAATTCATGAGGATTTGGTCATTTCCGGTTTCTCTTTGGTTTTAACATTGGCCTGAACTAGGGTCTTAAGGCTAATTTTGGCGAAAAATCTGAATTTTTACGTAGGATCCAGACACATCGAACAGGAGGCGTGGAAGGGGTATCCGGAGGGCCTCCTCGAGAAATTTGTTGGAAGTTTAAGGCATTCACATTTAGTTGAATCAATTTCGTAATGAAAATTATCCAATTATGAGCGACTTTACTTTTCCTTTCCTTCATTCCTGCCTTTTTTCTTTTTCGCTCCTTTTTTCGGGCGAACGGGTAGGAGCGAGCGCCCCTTACCCCCCCCCCCCCCCCCNAATTGGATCCGCCCATGACTTTTGGGCACTGAACCGAAAACCCAAAAAACCCTGCATTTTTTGCCAAAATCACCCTATAGACCTAGGTTTGGGTCAGTTTTAGCCCTCCATAAAGATCGAAAATGATCGAATCATGATGCATTACGTAAACTTTAGCCCTTTAATGAGCAAAAATCGTAAAGTTCAGGGTGGGCCCAAAAACGGCCTTTAACAATACCCCTCCTCCACTTCTAAAAGCATCTCTTAGAATACGAAGCAACCATCGAAATTTGCAGTTTTGATCAAAATTTTCGGGTTTGACCTTTCCCAATGGTCCGTTCCACTGTGCGGCGTCAGACGCCGCCGCTCCGCTAAACGACCACTCGGTCCACACGCGCCGAAGCGCGACGCCCCCGCTCTCTCTTCAGATTCAAGAATAAACAAACGGTTTTTTAAACAAATAAAAACAGGCGGCGAGCTCTGATACGTGGGTATTAAAGAAGTCCTCAGCAGTCTGTGGGGTTCTTTTGTAGAGGGGTATGGATTTGACTGACACGAATCGCTCGAAAAATAAAAACGTCAACCGGTCGACACCGATGCGATCCAAAGAGTTCGATCGATTCACAGTGTGGCGATCGTTTTATGGATTTGTAGATCGATTCACGGATTTGTTAATCGATGCAGGTTTTCATCGATCGATTCACGGGTTTGTCGATCGATTCACGGATTTGTCGATCGATTCTGGAGTTTGATAATCCACAATTGTCAATCAATTCGGTATTGATCTAGTCGCGGATCGACACCGGGTTTTTTAATTATTTGTCTATCAAAGCGGTGTCGGCCGCGGCGTCGTTGATCAGTTCGCGTCTTTATTTTTCGATAGAAGCATGGCGATTGAATTAACACCGGGTTTTAAATCATTTTTGTCGATCGGTTCACGTTTTTATTTTTCGATCAATTCATGTCGATTCAATCCATATACCACCCTCTTTGATATTCTTGGTTACCCACGTTAAAAAATAAACGCAATTCTGTTTCCTACAGACGCCGCGACGAAACAAGAAACACTTAGAAAATGACTTTAGATTACGGCCAGGGAGATTTCTTCTTGCAAGCATCTTTTTGTCGTGTTCCAGGCAGAAAAAAGAAAGTAACAATCTTCCAACCTTACAACAATTCCGCTAAATAATTTTATTTTATCAGGAAATTGCTGGGCGTGTCGAACTAACAATTTCACAAATTTGTCTTTGAATACAGGACAAAACCAGCAAAATTTTTGTCAGGAAACGGATTGTCTTACTCCGGTTAAAAAAAAAAATCTTTTTAGTCAATTTTGCAACATTGAAATAGAGTTCCGTTCTCTTGTCAAGTGAACAACTTTTTCTGCTTGCTTCAACTTAAGTATTTTCTTGATCGAAAATCTTATCCAATAGTATACCTATGTTTAAAATCATATTCGTAATGCGTGGTGCATAACGCCTGAGGCGCGAAGCGCTTCGGAAGCTTCGACCGCAAATTAAGTCACTCTTTTTTCTAATGAACGGTTAGTGAAGAACCTTCCTGGCACTAAGTGTTACTCCTCCAAGTGTTGATTTTATGATCTCACCAGCAGCTGCGAGGGATAGGGAGGAGAAACGGTCTGAGGGACACGGGTTATCTGAATACGCTTTAATTAGCGAGGAGGAGTTATCGGGAGCTCGTTTTCCGGGCGGGACCGCCTTTTTCCGCCGCTTCCCGGGTCTCTCGCTGCGTCCAATTGTTCGGGTCGCGCCGAGGAGAGTCGGCAACCCTCCGATGCCGCTATTGACCCGCGAGCCCGGAAATTAAAATGTGAAATATACCGGAAAATGAGGCTCTTCAAACGAAACTGATAGCGCCCCGTCGTGTCATCTCCCAACTTGCTCCTAAACCATAGAATCCGATTCCTGACCGTGTTTTCACTTGTAGGGTAGTTTTCCTCTCGTGTCCTGCTCGTAGCCGGATTTAGGTTTTTTTCACCCCCCCCCCCTTCCGCCATTGGCTGAGAAATCCCCCTCCTACCCCCAAAAAATGCTATGAACCAGTGGCGTGGTTAAGGGGAGGGGTCTGGGGGATCTGCCTCCCCCTCTTCAGCCTCGTTAATTGTACCTCTTCTTGTTTTACTTTTGCTTTAAAATAGTACCATAGAAAGGGCGATCTTTACAAACCTCCAGTTGTTGAGACCCGTTTGAGAATGTTCCCCGCTTTTTTTTTAAAGGATATGGTTGAATGGCTTGGAGGACAAGGCGCATAAGTGCAGTTTTAGAAAGAAATGAAATATTAATGATCTCAACTAAAACTAGTTCGAAAGTATATAATGCGAACAATTCACAACTAAAAGCCAACTTTAAAGAATCAAAAAGTGACTTACCTTCTGCCATAAGGCTCCATGTAATTTGAAACTTTAAACATGTATTTCTTGAAGTAGCAAAAACTGCATTTGTGCGTCTTGTCCGCCAAGCCCCCTGACCTCAATATTCAAAGTTATGCAATCCTAGTTTCTTTCCAGGAGTAATTGTATTTTTACTTTTAATTTGTTTTTTGCAGATATTTTACCGATCTGTCCTGAGGGTCTGCCAGCGACTCGTGAGTTCCTGTTGAAAGTGGTGGAAATCCTCCTCGACTACATCAAGGATGAGAGCAACCGCGAAGAGAAGATACTTGATTTCCATCATCCGGCAGACATGCGCTCCCTCCTCAGCCTCGAAATCCCAGACAAGGGTGTCACGCTCCAACAACTAGTCGACGACTGTGCAGTTACTCTCAAGTATCAAGTTAAAACAGGTAAGATTTTTTATAGGAATGTCCAAAACCTGTCAATTTATTACTTACTTCCTTTGTCCATTGTAACTATACGCTTGCATCGGTGGGATCGTTCCATATTCTCTTCGTCTTCTTTGTCTATCGCTTTGTCTATCAATTTCTATTATCCGTCCACCGATGCCTCTTTTCCTTCCGAAGGGGGTGTATGTCACAGGCAAATATTTATACTTAAATTAGATTGAAGTTCTGATTATTTTAATAATTTTAGATGAAATAATTCATTGCTCCTATAAGAATAAATTCCCCGTAAAAATTGGCATTATATACAATAGTATTTTAAACAAGTTTTAGCTCCTGAACGAATATTTATACTGAACTTATTATAGAATGCCATAAAATACACAATTGTAAAAAAAATTAACACTTGACTCGTTAATGAGAAGCATTTGATAAGGGGGAACAAGGAGAGTTCGTAGATTGGATGGGCTATTTTTCCGAAAATGTTGAAAACTCGTGAGCTCTTCGCCATAAATTTACAACATTTTAAAATTGTCAAAATTTGACCAAATACCTGGGCATTTGATAAAATGCCTGATTTGACTAATTGCCTACGACACATAGATTAGTAAGTGCTTTTCTTTAACTGCGTGGGTGGTTGTTTTTACCCTCAATCATACTAGGTACCGCCCCTCTTACATCCGTCACTATTGAGGTCCCCCATTGAACGAACGACAAACTTTCGATAACTTAAAGCGAGCTTTTCAAAAAAGCGTTCTTTCTGAATCTTTAGATTAATGACACCACAGGCGTCTCGGCCGTGATATCGGTGCGTGGCGGATCTGTATTTCATGACGCGCGAAAATTCGGCGCAGAAACGAGAGCTTTGGAAGTTTAAAAATTAAAGTTGGGCGAAAGAACACGGAAAAGCTTTCGGCACGGATTGGGAGCAAGAACAGCTGTTACCGGACGCAAAGCGGTACCACGATGCCGATTCCATGTGCTTAGCTCTTCGCGTGCCTCTCGCACTTTAACTTTCGCGAGCCAAGTTAGACAACCCTTCCCCGAGGCCTCCGATTAGGGCTCAATTGTTTCCGCGCGCATTGTTTTGGGCTGTTGCCAAGTGAGAGGGAAGGGGGTTGTTCATCTTCATGCAGAACAATGGCGTACCTTAATTTTAGCCGCGAACTGGCAAGGGCGCCCTGGATTCTCGCGTTCATTTCCAAATTGCTTGAGCTCCAGATTCCGAACGTTTTTGCTGCGGCTAATTGCGTTCCCACCTCTAATAAATAGCGGCAAAGCCGTAAGCCGAAAGCCGGACGAGTAAATGAGAAAAAACACTCAAATGCGTTCGCCGCCCTGCTTTCCGGTTGAAGTGTTTTTTCTCGAAAAATAAATCGGTCGCGGGAGCACAGTTTTTTTTGAAGAGCACGTTTTGCAATTGAACGTATTTATGCTAAACGGAACCAGAGACAGAGGGGATATAAGGAGTTTGCTCGTTAGTAGAGGGTCGTAAGATCGAATGGGAAATATGAAGCGCCAGTAGGCAGTGACGTCAGCTACGACGACCGGGCTCGACGAGATCTACGATACCGCATTAACTCATGAGCCCTGTCCACAACGCAGTTGTTACATGATCACGGCTCATGGGTGCCGCATACAGTTGGCGCTCAGTTCCGTTTGATTTAATGTTAAATCCCGCTTTTCCAATTCTCTAAAGGAATCATGCTCATTTTTAAATTGTTTCTAAAACAGCTCATCACGAGCACACCCCATCTTTCCCACACGTTTCTAGTTCCGTTTAGCAGAAATAAGTCCAATTCATCGTTTCGCTCATACGAAAGAACGTAACTTCATAGCCCTGTTGCCAACTTTTTTCTCGCTAATTGCATTTTAACCGGGAGAATTTGGTACATTTCTGGGTGAAAATTTTACTGATTTTTCTTTTGATCTCATTCAAATATCAGGAAAAAAAATTTGCAGAAGTGTACCTACTCTTGTGAAAAAGTGAATAGTTTGACATAATTTTGCAACCTTGGAGTGTAATTATGTTCTGTCGTCCGGGAAACCACGAATTGCGCATTCCGGCGAAAAATGAAGCGATGCTTTTCACGAGGTAGGGAATGGGACAAGATGATGAACTTGGATAGTGCCTGGTAACAGAAGATCAAAGAACACAGAGGATGGCAGTCACATCAACTGAATCGTATCGCTAAGGTATTAGATCATCTTATCAAATCAGCCGTTTAAAAAAAAGAGAGCACTTCTTAATTTTCGTTAAACTAAAAAGATGTATTCCCTTCTATCTTGAGTCTGAATTCTTTGGTAGTATCGCGGAAAAGATTCTGTGATGGTCATATCAATCTTACAGCGATAATTTAAGAAACATGAAGCTTTGTGTTGAAGAGTGAGCTAGCTCCGAAGAAAGCATCTACCGTAACGTACTTAGAGATAAAAATTAAGAGATAACTTACTCCTAAAAGTTCCACTCGCACGGCTCTATCACTTGCGTGCAACAGACACATTGGACGTTTATTCTAAAAGGCACTATGTGCATAGGATTCGAGTGCAGCCTTGTTTCTTTTGGCCAGTGGCGTGGTGTGATTCGCGATTGATCTGCCATTTAAATATAATTATGGACAGGATAGTTATGTAAAAGGGTGTTCGAAACGGAACACCTTAATACGTCGTCTTCCGGACGAAGGAACGCAACTCCATTCCAAGGTTTCCAAATTGAGTAAAACAATGATTTTATTTTACCCAAATGTAACTGTGCAATTTTTATCGAAAATATCTCTAATTTCTGCATGATTTTTGAGGAGAAATCGGTGTTTTCAATTTAAAATGCCCAAGACTCTCCTGTTTATCATGTAATTCGCTAGGGGAAATTAGGCAATATTGAAATGGAGTTACGTTCTTTCATGAGGGAAACGACGAATAATACATTATTTACCATACCCTCAAATAGAGAAATATCGATGATCGATCTCGTCTGATCTCGCCACTGCTATTAGTTTACCCATGTCCAATGATCGATGAGGAAACTCTGAATCCCTAAAAGTAAAGGACTCCCTCTCACCCATCGTCTGGAGTTTGGTGGATGATTTCTCTTTATCTCAGAGAAAAATGGCTATTTGAAGGGCAGTTAGACATAGGTACCTATGTACAGAGTGTAGATACGGACGTGTCGAAATATACAGCTCTGAGCGCCTGAAATGGCAGTCAATCGTCCAACACGAAAAATACTAGGAAATTGCCGCGGCCAGGATCTTCAGATTCCAATATCAAAGCAAAATGGCCGAGAATGTTCATATATGAGCGACCTTTATGCAAAAATGAGGGGATATCGATAACAGCCGTTTTTGCAGGGCTCATCCTAGCTGGATTTTCTCAACTCTACGCTTTTTTACTCATTGAAGGTCTATACAGGGTGATCCAAAAGTCCCTTCCACCCCCTCTAACTTTTTACCTAATTGAGGTAAAGATTTGAAACTTGGGGGGATATTCCTAGGTCAAAGGGAGCTACTTTTTGGCCCCCCTAAAATTTTCAGGGGGGCCCCCCTTGGGGGGGGGGGAGGCAACGGACCCCAACTTTTAATTTTCAAATGAGAAGACCCCCTTTATGATAGCTCGTTCGAAAGAGCATAAAAAAAGACAACTTTTCGCGCAAACCCGAAGTCAATAGCTCAAACCGTTTCAAAATGGCGGCCGGTTAAAGTTCCAAATGGCCGAAAATTCACACCGGTTATTTGTCGATGGATTTACGCAAAAATCGGTATGTAGGGGTATTTTGACACGAGAAAAACGAATTTGACGTTAGAATTTCCAAAAAACCGGAATTTCCAAAATGGCCGCCGGTTAAAGTTTAAAATGGCCGAAAATTTTCACCTCGGTTTTTTTCTGATGGATTTGCCTAAAACTTGGAATTTGAGAGTATTTTGGTAAAAGATAAACAAATTTGAACTTAGATTTCTAAAAAAATCAATTTTTGGTCATTTTGAACTTTAACTGGCGGCCATTTTGGAAATTCCGGTTTTTTTGAAAATCTAACGTCAAATTCGTTTTTCTCGTGTCAAAATACCCCTACATACCGATTTTCGCGCAAATCTATCGACAAATAACCGGTGTGAATTTTCGGCCATTTTGAACTTTAATCGGCCGCCATTTTGAAACGGTTTGAGATATTGACTTCGGGTTTGCGCGAAAAGTTTTCTTTTTTTATGCTTCTTTCGGGTTTGTGGTCGAATGCAAAAAAATCGGCCTCCAGAATCATGTTCAGACCAGTATCAGACCCGGGGATAGACCGGAAATGACCAAATCACAATGAAGCCCGTTAAATACATATACACTTTCAGTGAGTAAAAAATCGAGCAGTTGATGAAATTCAGCCAGGATCGGCTCAAAAAACGGCCCTCATCGACACGTCCGCTTTATCCAAGAACTGAATCAAATACGCGCTTTAAAAACAAAGGGTCATACAAATTTTACTAATAAATCGTTCTCACTGAACTGAAACGATGTATATTGAATTTATTTGGAAATAATAGAAAATAATAGATCAGCACAGAACGCCCGAGCGTGCGGGGTATTCAATTCTGTAAACAAATATGGCGACCGTCTGTATAACGGCCGCCATATGACGTTGAGTGTACCGAACCCCCGGAGATGCACCGATTGGTGGAGTTTCGAAGTTAACCGCCGAATCCCAACGGTTGACCGTCCAAGTCGCCAGTGCAAGTCTCTAAAGCCCCTACACGTTGGCTGCTCTTTAGAGCCCTAATAGCTCCTGAACCTAACCTCAAGAATTACCATGTCCGTACTTTCCCTATATAGATACTCTACGCAGACAAAAACGAAGAGACCGCACTTCGGCAACTCAGCTCCGGAGGTATATGTATCAGATTTGAGGGCACTTCCTATCGGGGTCCTCGCCGGCGCGCGATCCGCGAGCGATAGGGGTAGCGACGAGGGGTGCGCAATTGATGGATGTTGAGCTCTCAATAGCCGATGTTAATGACACCTAACAAGCACTATTCACGCTTATCGGCCCCCACCCCCTACCCCTCCTCCTTCTCTTCCTCGGCGCTTCGACTTAAGATTCAATTTAGATCAAAAGCTCACGTCCGCGGCTGCGGTCCTGCGGTCGGGAGTACCCCACGCCACGCGCCGTCCTCTGTTTGTTTGCCTTTCATAATTTTCGCTGCCACCACCCCCGCATCAACCACCAACCCCCCCCCCTGGATCTTTGTTCTTTTCCCCGGCTCGATTAACGGATTCCATCGCGATGATCTCCTTTCGCCCGGAGAAGCTTGATACAATGTTGATTCTGTTGTGGTCGAATAGTGGTATCACCGCGAATGCCGTGCTTATTCAAAACACCTAATGTATAATATACCTTGAATATCCTTTCACCGAACATGAAGAGGTGGCTTTAACGCCTTGTCCGTTCGCCTTCAATTTTTAGCGTAGGCAACTTGAGCTCCTACGTGGTCAAATAGTGGTATCGCCGTGAATGAGGTGCGATTATTCCAAACACACTGATTTTGGCTCGTCTGCAATGCTAACGTATGTCATGTATGATTAGCCCAGTTTACGAGTCGGTTTTGCAACTGATTTTCTTTCATTGCTCTTATTAACCTTGAACTTAATATGAACAAAATAAGCGTGCTTAAATCGAACTCTAAAATACATTCTTAGATTTGACACTCCAATAAAAAATCGTCTAAAGACTGCCGAATTTGATTTTGACGGATTCATTGAACATGCTAGTAAAATGAAGAGAGAGTGCGTCTTAAAATGATGTAGAAAGGATATTTTGATCAATCATGGATATGGGTATGATAGTGCGCAGCGGCATTTACGAAATGAGTGTTTTTACGGTTTGCCTTTGATCTTTCACCCAATCACCCATGAACCTTTAATAACATTCAATTCCTATCAGTGGCGAGGCGTGAATGATCGATTATCGATATTTCCCCATTTAAAGCTATGGTAAAGAATCGATTATAAAGGTGTTCACTGCGAATACCCTGTTTGTCGATCTTTCTCCACAGGTTTAAATGACAGATCAATCGATATATCGCACGCCACTAATTCCCAGGCATTATACGAGGACAATTATCTGATTTGTATGATATGTTAGTGGATCAGTTGCAATGTTCACAGAATCGTGTTTTGATAGGTACCTACTTGATTCTTGAAGATTAGCTAAAATAATAAGATCTGTTCAAATAGCACCTTTCTACGATCAATATTAGCCGAGATATTGCGGTTTGAAAATTTCGGTTTATAACGTCATTCAGCGCGGTAGTGACATATATACTTGGTTTTTTCCACCTTGCTTTCATCCGAGTTTCACGTTGAATAGCTAGTGCTGATGTGCGCCTCCATGACTGATAAAACCAAGGTGGAATAAACCAAGGGTGCCACGACCGTGGTAGGTGGCGTCATAAACCAAATTTTCGAAGCAGGATTTCTCGGTTAATATATCGAGAGTTGCTGTTTTTTTTTTTTTTTTTTTTTTTTTTTTTTTTTTTTTTTTTTTTTTTATTTGAGACCAAAAAGTTTATTATTTGAATTACAAGTTATACAAAAAGACGAGCTATGTGCCCCTCTGTGTTGATAGACCTTAAAACTAGTATAAGACTTATTTTAAAAGGTATGAAATTAAGCTGTTTGGAGACATAAAGAAAATCAGGTAGTCTGTTGTGAAGTGGTCTCGCCGGAATTACCAATAGGTATACCATCGGCGTGGGGGGGTGGGGGTGGGGGTGGTTGGTCTGGGTGGAGGGACGGCTGCTGGTTTGATTTCAATCTTAGGACTTTCTCGATATAAGAAGAGATGTGATTCCAGTTGTCTTGCGATGAAAGAAGAAGATCTTGAGTTGAGGCGAGAGCAAAAACAGCCCCTAGAGAAGCGTTCAGCAAACTGCGTTCCGAGAGGAAGAAGGAGCAGTGGTAGAAGGTGTGCTCGGGAGAATCTCTACTATTACAATTAGGCATAGGGCATAGGTCATCAGGGGTCAATTTAAACCTGTGAAGATAGTCCCGGAAATTCCCGTGACCACTAAAGAATTGAGTTAGGAAGAAGTTTGTGTCACCAAAGGGTCGATGGATAAAACTGCGGAGGTCAGGTATGACTGATTTGAACCAGACATCAGAATCCGTCTGGCCTTCCAGTCTTGTGACCCATTTCTCAACAATGTCAGATTTAATAAGAGATTTTGGCTCACCATCATACTGCCTACATCTAAACTCAATATAGAGATCGGACGGGGGAATGCCGGAAAGAACGTCTAATATGTTGTTGGAAACAGTGCGATAAGCTGCACAGATACATCTCTTAAAGGGTCTACAAGTTTTAGTAATTATGTTACGATACTTAGCGATCTTAGTGACCTCAGCCCAAACGGGCAGACCATAGAAAAGAGAGGAAAAGACAGCGTTTAAAATGAGCTTGCGCTTCTTGAAGGTGGGGCCTCTGATGTTCGGCAGCAGGGGTAGTAAGGAGCAATGAACCTTCTTAGCTTTTTCGCAGGCTTTAATGACATGAAGAGTTGCTGTTTGGACAGATGTTATTAATTTTTAGTTCATCTGCAAGAATCCTATGACCAGCACAACTGACCCATTGAGGGGCTTGATGGACAAGGCACACAAGTTCACTTTTTGAAAAAAATTCAGATATTCAGGAACTGAACTAAAACTAGTTTGAAAGTATATCCAGTAAACATTTCAAAACTAAAATCCAACTTTAAAGCAGTAAAAGTGAGTTTAAACCTCCTCTCTGCCGTTAGGCTCCACGTTATTTTGAAACTTAAAACAAGTGTCCCTTGAAATAGCAAAAAAACTACACCTATGCGCCTTGTCCTCTATGCCCCTCAATTGAATAAAGATAAAAAAATAAAAATAAAAAAAAACATAGACAAGAATTGTCAAAACGAAAGCTGGCATCAATGATGAATTTACCTGGAACGATTCCAGTACTATAACATGCGTCAGGGTGAAAAAAACAAACGCACTTTCATCTCCATTGGTTGNGGGGGGGGGGGGGGGCGCCTCTAAGACCGTGCTAAAATACCCGATATCAAGCCAGATAAGAAGAAGGAATTCTGCAGTGGCGAAGCGTGAATAATCGATTTTCGATTTTCCCCCATTTCAAGTTATGTTAAAAAATAAATTATTCAGGTATATTCGTTGCGAACACCCTGTTTATCGATCCTTTTCCATAAGTTTAAAAGGAAGATCAATCTATACATCTTAAAGCACGCCACGCCGCGCCACTGCTACGAGACACCAAAACCCTATCTTCGAACCACGCAAATTCTGCGCACAGACAGAATTCCACCGCAAATCGAGCAAGACGAAGGGGCAATATAATTTGATTTTAAGCGAGCTCGTGGGCTAAGGAGACAAATAATAGGAGGAGGGCGGTGAGAAAGGGGAAAGGGGTGGGGGGTCAACGCTTGGGCCAGGAATAGCCGTGGAGTGATGCGCGCAAATCAAAGCACAGGACCAGGCAGTGGGAGAGCGGCTCAAAAGCTCGGTGAGTATTTATGTTGTCAAGTCGCGTCATAAATCATCGGTACCCGTAGCGGGGGAGGTTCATCCCCTCCGCCCACAATCCCTATTCGTCCTTGGCTTCGCCACTCCCATCGCGAGCGCCTCCGCCGCACGGTGGGGTCATCCCTCTCAACTTAGGATCGTTTGAGGCACCTTAAAGCGAATAATATCTGAGAGAGCAAATTCTCGAATGCGTAAACACCAGAAGCGTAAAAATGCACAAACCAAAGGAGCAAATTTTAAACACATGTGGTCGTCCAAAAGCGAAATCCCACCTTACCTAACCTAACGCAACCCAGCCTAACCTAACCTAACCTTGCGTTAAAGTTAGGTTTGCTAGATATTGACCACTTGATTCCCTCTTTCTTTCTGTACCCCTCTGTCGCCCCAAAACTATACTACCATTTACGCAAACAAACCACCATCCAAAAGCGAAAATTGACGATTTGTGTCTTTTTGGAATTTGCGCTCTCGAATGGATTTGCTTGAAGCAAAGTCAGCAAAGCCCCAAGACACCATCTTTCCAGAAATGGCAACATACTTTCACATTGAACTAAAATACTTTATAAAATTTTTATATTTAATCGATTTAAATTTTTTTTCATTTTGGAATTTATATATTTTAATTGTTAATTTATTTATTTTTAGTTTATAAGTAGCTCGTAGATTCCAAAACATCTAATGGCTTTAAGGCAGATGTAGGGAGTCTGAGTATAAAATAGACATATTTCTATCAAACGGAACTAAGCGCCAATTTGAGTTCCGTTTGAGGAATTTGGAATGCCGGATAGCGCGTTCTGTCAAACGGACCTAAGCGCCATGGAAAAGCATTGCGAGTATGGGACGGAATGAGCCTGACGCTCGGTTCCGCCGCCAATCCAAGCCCCCCCGCTACCTTCCTCCCCCTATGGCGCTTAGTCCCGTTTGACAGAAATACGTCCAAATTTTCATGTGTCAAGAAAAAGGTACGTACATTTTGGGCGTAAAGGAAACAGGAAAGTAAGTTTTAGAATGCCAGGAAACATAAGTATAGGAATAGGTGGATGAAAAGAAAAATTTCAAATTTAAATCGGGAAATATTGAAAAATTTAAGGATTTTTGTCTGCCCATTGATTTCGAATTGTTTTTTATATTTATCATTGTTAATTGATTTATTTTTAGTTTATGTATTTTCAGTTTACTTGCTTTTTTCATACTTATATTTATTTCTTTGCGCTACAGGCTTAAACGTAATACATTTAAACGCCCATGGAAGCTGATGCGAGTGCACTCACATCAGCTTTCAGTGCAATATAATACTTGAGCAATCCCAAAGTCGATACGGTGGTAGTGTTGAGAAGCATTTTAAAAATGATCAAGGCCGTATATCCAGAGGATGGCAAGTTTTAATCCAATGTGCGTCGCATCTAAAATGGACCAATTAAATTCCAGTAAGAGAGGGAGTCGGAATTTGTTCCGCGCAGTTGACCGCAGATGTTTTTGTCACGTTTAATCTCTTCTTATTTGAATTTTCCCACTCCTCGATATGTTTTTGACTTTTCCTCCACCAACCGCCCGCGCGAGCGCCCGCCCGCCCGCCCAGACATTATACGCACTTGCACTCAAAATGCCCACCGCTCCTCCGCGATACAGGTTCTAATATTACACTCAACAAATTATTGTTTTCTTATGTTTGGTCCTTTTTTGTTTTTGTTTTTTTTGCAATTAATTTATTTGCGCGTTGTATCCCATTAATTACGCATGTCCTATCTGATATACTGAATAAAAGATAGATCGCCGAGAAAATCTCCTCTTAAGGCGAATCCAGGCTCAGAACTTCGCGATTTGGCCACCACGTCGCGCTGCTCAGAATAGCCGTATATATTTGCCAAAATAATAAAAACCGTAATACTTATTTAAGATTGGGGATCCAGGGGATATAGCAACATACTTGAGGAACATGCAGTAAAAAAATATTCTCAAAATTCCTAAAAATAAAGTTGTAACTACGGCGGAAAGTAATGCCCATTGCGGCAATGGGAGAGAGAGAGACAGAACATGAGGGAGTCGGTTGTGCGCTCGGCCGCCGCCTTCTGAGCTGAAAGTTTCAGCGGTACTTTCTCTGCGCTTGTAATTCTAATATCCGATATTTTTGGCTCAAAAAATCAAGCAAAAAATACTCTATATCTTGTGGATCTGCTTTTTGTAATTTGAGGAATATTATTTCAGTAATCGTAGAAGGAAAGTGAAATTCTCAGTCGTGACTGGTGACGCTATCTCTAATCTTGAATTATCCTTAATCGAACCCTGGATTCACCTTAAAAATATCTGGAAAATTGGGCTAAAAATGAAACAGTTATTTCTCACCTTTTTTTTAAAAAAAAAAAAAATAAATAAAGGAAAACGGCAGCGCAACTTAGTAACTTAGGTTTGTAGTTCGGTAGAAAAAAGAGATGAAAACGGGAAAGGATGTGACCTAAAAGACTTGCATAATACACCCAAATACAACAGCTAAACTAGAAAAAGTACGTAATGTAGGTACCCAATTTGCAACGAGAGCAAGAGACCACATCGACATCATGCTTAGAATTTTTTTTACTTTCTCGCTCCTCTAGGGTAGAGAGGAAGTATTATCATCCTCCAAGAAAAAAAAACATAAAAAAGTTGAAATTTCATTATTTCTGGACGTTTTTAGGTCCCAGGAGTCAAAATAACCATACTTGAAAAAATGTGTGTCCGTCCGTCCGATGTCCCCCAAATCTGTGTACAGCGATATCTCAGAATCTATCTGTTTGATTTCATTCAAAATTGGCACAAAACACCATATCTATGGTCTCCTTATGCACGTCAAACGATTTTGGGGTACGCTAAAATTTCGGGGGGGGGGGGCTAGGGTTAAATTGGGTTAAAGGTCCATCTTCAGCAAAATCACACGGAAAGCTCATTTTGAGGGACTGTAAATTTTGAAAAATACCTTTAATTCTTTAAAAGTGGGCATCAAGCACATCACCTGGGTAATTAATTTAAGTTCCTAAAAGATCTTTGGACTAAACTCAAAATTCAAGGGATTACGAGGCCCAAAAGTGAGGCACTTTGCTCCGCGACATGACACAAACAGCTCATTTTCAAGGACTGTAAATTTAAAAAAAAATGCCTTTAATTCTTCGAAAGTTGGCATAAGAGCACCACCTGGTTCATTAATTTAAGTTCTTATGAGGTCTTTGGACTAAACTAAAAATTGAAGGGTTACGCGTCATATAGCGAAGAGAGCACTTCGGTCACACGGAGAGCTCATGGACTTTAGATTTTGAAAAAATGCCTTTAATTCTTTGAAAGTTGGCTCAAAAGCACCACCTGAGTCATTAATTTAAGTTACTACAGAATCTTTAATTACTCCGTAGGTATATACCAAGCAAAATTAGACAACTAATTAGGTGCTTACATTACATACTATGAATCATCGAAGCTAACGCAAAAACTGACACTTAGATCTTTATTAGAAACTAATACGTTTGTTGTTAATGAATTTAGAATCCCGGCAGATTCCATCTTTCGCGGTTCCTTTTTATGAGGTACTGAACACAAATATAACATAATAATACTGCACAAACATGATTGATAATAAAAAATTGAATGGCTTTCCTCTCGGTCGTGTGAATATTGA